AATAGAACCAGTCAATACTACAAGACTCCGTTAGTTGTATGTTGTGGATATGATGCTTGTGATATCTAGAACCGTCCATGGCAGTTGATGTTAGATGCATGCATAATGAAGAGAGAATTCATTACCTGCTTGCACTTGGAAAAAACAAGAAAACTCATTATCTTACTTCTGATCTTCACCAAAGCTTCTAAATAGGAGGGGAAATCCATGGTCAGCCATGTCTTCCAAATGTGCAACGAATTTCTGGATGCAATTTCAAAGTCCAAAGGTGCGGAGATTGTTGATCAAAGCAGAGAAGGCTCTAATGAAGGCTACTAGTAGCCTCCACCAGTCAAGGAGTTGCTTAGAATGAGTTTCATTCTATAATTGAGAACCATCTATAATTTCCACCTTTGCGGCATATCAACATCAGAATTGATTATTGATCCCTTGGGGATGCATAATGATACCAAACCCTCATCCATTACAAGTAGAATTCAAAGGCAAGAGCCAGATCCTTCAAAGACAGGTAAGAATTATCTGAAGAAGGGACAATATCCGAGGAGAGCATAATCCTTAGTGGGTCCTGCTTTATTGGTACCAAAGAAGGATGGACTTGGAGCAATGGTGCTGTGCATTAGTTCAAGAGCTCAAGAGCATTACAATGCAATATCGACCTCTTCATTCTTCTCTCCCTCTTCAACCTCTTTTCTCTCTCTAAAATCCTCCATGAACCACCTATCTCTTCTTCTTTTTCTCTTTAGTATTTCCTCACTCTCCTCTCAAATACCCATCTTTCTCGTCTACCTAATGCGAACCCAAACGGAAGACATCTTCCTCTTCCTAGCTAGTGCACCATTCAAAGTGCAAGTTCCTGACACAAAACCCACAGGCACAAAGAGGGCCCACCACCCACACCTCCACCAACAGATCTCCACCACCTCGCATCCCCACTCCTACACTTGGAGACAATACCAAGTACAATATTTTCCTTTAAATTCGTATACTGCCGACAGATTTCATCTGATGAAAAGCTGGAGTCTATAGAAAAAAAGAGGCTTTCGAGATGCTATGCATTGAGCCTTAAAAAGAGGATAGGAGTGGAGATTTATTATATGAAAGATAATGATGTATGCTCCTTTAACTC